ACACACACACACACACACACACACACACACACACACACACACACACACAAACTATATTATGAGCAAAAACACTGTAGCCTCACATTCACTTACACAGACAAATAGATACAATGTGACCTCAATTGCAAAGCAAAACATGGCGACCTCAGCAGAAAGAGACTGTAGTAAATGGCAAACTGTAGCTGTGCAGTGTGAAAAAGCCTTGGCAAGTTCCCCGTCTTACAACTGATTTCACCAGTATGAAATTAAACCCAGTGTTCTCATGCGGATGTACACTGGTGTTGACTTACAGATGATCTAGTACCAACAATATGGTTATGGTGTTCTCCATATATCGACCTTTCTGGTCCAACACAAGCAGTGAAATCCTTCCTTATAAACCCTGAAAAGTCTCCTGAGATATACTTTTTTACAGAATATATACAGTCTAAAACACTATTTTGTATCTTCTGAGATATAAATAACAGTTATATTGAAGAGGTAATTTATTGCTCATTAATTGTGTGATGTATAAAGATGTTATATGAGCTCATGTCATCTGAAATCTATTAATACATGCCGGTGAATGTGTATTTGTAAACTATACAAAACGCAAAAATCATGCTTCAGTCCTCATCTGCTGTTATTTTCACAGCCATTTGTATCTTTCGTGTTTGATAAATGAAACGGGCCACGAACTGTAGCGTAACTGGTGTAGCAGGACGGGAGTGCCTAAAAAAAGTTTTAATATCAAAACTAAACCGTGGTTAGAAAACTTTAAAGTGCTTTCTAATTATCTGAAATGCTAGCATTAAGCCTTTGTGAGCTTTAGGCTAATATCAATGTGAAAGCAGTTCACGATGTCAGAGTTGGGGTGTTTGGAATGATGTCATATATTGTGATTTTTCACTTTTTGTTTTCTAGATTCAGCTCGATGCTGGCTGATAGCTTTCTCTGTGCTGACCTTCCACCGAAACGAAAAATTAGACCAATTTCAGGAAAAACCTGAGGGCTGTAATGAGACCTACTGTATGGCAGTAGCACATGACTGTATGACGATAATTTACCCATATCAAATCATATTGTTCTGCATTTACTTGTGGAGGATTTGAGCGTCATACAGAGCACTTTACAAACATCTTAAGCCTTAATTCCTTGTGAAATTGTCACCATGAGAGATGACAGGCAGTGGGAAGATGAAGACAGGGTTTATAAAGGGGCTAGTGAGTTTTGTCAGCATCTGCTGAAGGTCTATTTGAGCGTTAGTCTGTATATAGCGTGGATTGTACTGATGAGTTTCAAGCTGATATTTTATTCCCATACTAACATTGTAATTTTCAAACTAACCCACAAAATAAATATTTAATCACAATAACCTCCCCCGGTCCTTTCACCCCCAAGTGAGCACTATTTAATTGGTTGTAAAAAAGTGAGGTTGATGGTGTGAAGAGATAGAACTGCTGCAGTATTGAATGACGGTGTGAGCAGGTCTCATACCAGTACATTTGTTTGAGAGTTGATGCTTGCTGACTTTTGTATTTGTAATGATTTTGACTCATTTCATATATTTGGTTATTGTGCTGTTTCAAAAAATATTAACAATACCATTTTTTTTAAATCTGAGTGGTTGGTCATAATATATTTTAAGAGTATTTGTAGCCTCATTGTAAAATTGAGAGAAATTGGCTCAAGAAACAATATCTTCAAGGAAACTGAAAATATTTTCTTGATGTAAACAGAAATTAACGTACATTTTAGGTGTTTTTTTCCCTTTTAATGTACTTGATCTTTGGACATTTAGGGCTCATTTGAATGTAGTTCTTTATGTGTATCATATGTGATGTTTTTTACTGTTGCATTCACTGTAGCACAGCACAGAATGTGACCTGGTTTCTTCTGCTGCCTGATGTGTTCACATCCTCTTAGTATCCGGCTTCATAGAGCTTCATCCAGCTGGTGAAAACCTGAAATCAAAGACCAAACTGCTGTGCACTGGGGGTCGTAAATGTATTTTTCATATAATGTACTCTGTAAGTTTAAAATAAATTATATAAATTTAG